GACAATTTTAGTAGGAGCCACGAGTAATTACCAACGAGATTAGATCAATATACGTACTCGCCCCCCCTATACTCGAATCCTGGCTTCGCCACTGTGTTGAATGGAGTGCACCATGTAGCAGGAGCATGTTCTCGTAAACCTGAACATGCTCTGGCTTTTTATATGAAGGAGCAAGTGCTATCACCAAGCAAAATTCATTTTCAAGGAATTTAGTGAGACTTTTAACTCATCCATTTATTCTGTTGTATAAACAGTGAACAGTTCATTTATTCAACAACTGTTTGTGATGTTAGTTACTTACGAATCAGTAGTACTCCCTCCGTTTCTAAATATTTGTCTTTCTAAAGATTTCAACAAATGACTACATACGGAGCAAAATAAGTGAATCTACATTCTAAAATATGTCTATATACATCCGTATGTGGTAGTCCATTTAAAATCTCTAAAAAGATAAATATTTAGGACCCGAGGGAGTAGAAGTAGCATGGCAGCATGCATGAGGTGTAAAAGTTTGTTGGCAGCGTACGAGACTTGTGAACAAAACTATAGTATGAATCACGCAAGGAACACCTCAGCTTACAAATTCACACCAACCTCAACAATGGCATTCACCCAAAGAAAGTAAAACACTCTTTTCTCGAGAGGAAACGAGAGTTTTCACTCAATCATAGCAAACGAGTTTACATTGTTATTTTCAGTCACAGGATCAATAAACTTGGGTGCAGGCACAACCAAGATTCATCTATTCCTTGAGTTGTAGCCCAAGGCCAAGCAACCAACACACCTGCTTCCCTGTTGCTCTCTTTCTCAACTACTATCGTCTCATATTTTTTGACACAGTGTAGTGTCAAATAAACATCTTATATTATAGGACGGAGGGAGTATCTGAAAACAGATTCAAAGAACTGACATTCACTTCTTTTTTGAATTTTGCATTTAGTAACACATGTTACTACAATTCTGAAGCTTGATTGGCACGTCCAGAAGGATCATTGCTATTGCAATAAGCCCGAGTCATCTAAAAGAACTAGTGTGGTCACCACAATTGGCGGCAGTGGTCATCAAGATGTAGTGGACTCGTGGTCGCCGTTGCAGTCGAAATGAAGTGGTTGCCTACCGCTATCTCCACCAGGTCGTCGCTGTCAGGATGCAGCCGCCGCAGGCCGCTGACGTGGCAGCCATTGACATGGATCTCCGTCCGAGGGTGTCGACATGACGGCCACCCACACGGCCTTTCCCTGGGACTCGTCGCAGGTTGTCTTGCCCCGTCGTGGCAATCGTCCCCCTAGATGCGTATTTCGGCGTGGTGCCGTCGTCGTGGCGGCCGCTGGTAAGCGGGATTGGAAGGACCAAGCGATTTGGGGAGCTCTAGGAATTGGTGGACCTGCCTTGGCTTGGTGGAGGGGGTGTTTAGAGGTGGGCGCTTTTCTGCAAAATTAGCGTGGACGCACAAACAAGCACCAGATTTTGATCGGACGGATATGATGATGGGATGTAGGGATGCACAAACACAAGTGGATTAATAGGAGATGACACCTTTTTTTATACACATTTAACATTTTTTAAATACTTGTTCAACATTTTTTCAAATGCTTGATTAACATTTTTAGATACATGATAAAAAATGTCAACATTTTTTCTACACACATTTAACATTTTTCAAATGCTTGTTCAACACCTTTTCAAATACTTGATTAACATATTTATATACATGATAAAAAAATTCATTATTTTTAATTATGGTCAACATTTTTTTGATACACATTTAATTTTTTTTCAAATGCTACCTTAACATTTGTCAAACAATTTTTCAGCATTTTTTTAAATGCTTTATTAACGTTTTTAAATACATGATCAAATTGTTTCATACACGTTTTTGGTGCACATGATAAACATTTTCTCCATACACATTGAACAATTTTCAAATGTTTTATGTAGATTGATTTTTGTAATATATCTATTTAGAATATTTTGAAGTACAAATAAAAGTAAAAAAAGGAATAAAGAAACGAAAACAAAAAACGTGAAAACAAAACAAAACAGAAAACGAGGTTATTTTTTCCGGCGCACCTGGCCGGCCCAACTCGGGGCACGCAACAACCTTCAGCCCCGCAGCCACAGCAACTCCCTTCTCTCTCAAAAGAAAAAAAAAGCCACAGCAACTCCCGAGCACGAGCAGAACACGCTTTGCCCTCGCACAGCAACTCCCGACCCCGACACCCAGCCGGCCAGCCGCCTCGCCGTCGCGGCGTCGCCGGTCGACGGCCGGAGCCCGGAGCCCAGTCGTCCAGGAGGCTCCCTCCAACCCTTCCCGGCTTCCCGCCCGGCCAACCTCCCGGTCCAGCCGCGCCCCTGCCCTGCGCGCGGCTGCGCCCCTGCCGTGCGCTCCCGCGGTCCCGGCGTCCCGCCTCCCCTTCCCGGCTTCCCTCCGTCCCGGCCACCCCCCTGCAAAGCCCCACCACGGCGGCAACAAGTTACAAGCGAGCAAACTGACCAATTTAAGGTACCCAAATGCCTCAATTTCAGACTTAGGGTTTGCTTTTTTGCCCCAGTTTCCTGTACATGAACACATACATAATTCTGCACTGATATATATATATATATGTATGTAAGATTATAATATGTGCAACAAAGAAATATGTCATTGTCAACCTTAAGCTATAAAAGAATTTATCAGCTCTAGTGCGATAAAGTCATTGTCAGCCTCAAATGAATTTGCAAAATTAGACATCGCCATCCTTTGGCCTATAATTTATACAATGCCTCTAGTCCAGAATAAAGATAATTTTTTGTCGACCATGCAAGGAATAGAACCACATGCACAAACAAGAAATATTAAAGGTTTAGCAGAATTTTTAGTACTGTAACCTTTTACCAAATGCAAATGCAAGCTGAATTTAATCTCCCTACTCCATGCATGTCCTGGGCAGAGAGCTGTTACCCATACCAAGACAATAAAAAAAAGTGAACAGTATTTTCTATTTTGTGCATGGGGACAGCATTCGAGATGTTCAATGCAACATCACTATTTTATTGCCTATATGGTGTGAGCATCAAGTAGGGTTATTTGGCAATGGAGGGGCTCATAACCATCACTAAACTACTTGTGCCATGCATGACTGCTCCCGCCATCTCCCCAAACAGTTCGCGCCATGCATTGTTTAATACACTGTGCACAGATCCCCATGAGTGATATCCAGAGATCAATGGTGTTGAGCGTAGGTTCGGGTGAACCATGGTCCCGTTCAACATTTCCATAGACTTAAATTCAGTTATCTACATTTTGGTTCAGATGTGGCGAGCCGCTGTTCTGCTATGCTTCATTCTTCAAGGTGCCACTGTTGCTGCTGATAACGAGACATGGGGCTACGTTGAAATTCGTCACAGTAAGTATCCACTAATAATATCAATCTTTACATCATGTTGGGTCCTCTCATCCTTTCGTTTTGCCATTTACTACTATGACCAAATTTTTATTCCATTTGTCTGTTTTTGTGCATGAGTTTAACGGTAAGTTTTTGTTGCAGAGGCGCACCTATTTTGGTGGTACTACAAAAGCCCACATCGGGTGTCCTCGCCAGTAAAGCCATGGCCAACCATCCTCTGGTTGGAGGGCGGTCCGGTATGTAACTGGTCTCCTCTCACTGCCATTTTTTTCCTTGGTTGAGTACAAAGCATTAGTTGACCGTCGTCGTGTTCTTTCAGGGAGGGTCAGGCGTCGGGGGTGGCAACTTCCAGGGGATCGGGCCGCTGGATGTCAATCTGAAGCCACACAACTCGACGTGGCTGCAGAAGGCTGATCTCATCTTCGTGGTAAAAGAGTTGTTCTAATTGCACGTACTATTTAAGGACATTGGCAGTGTAAGTAATGAGCATGTTGGAATGCAGGACTTACCAGTGGGTGTTGGGTATAGCTACGTGGAGGACCCAAGCGTGCTAGCTACGACGGACGTGCAAGTTGCTTCTGATGCCACCGAGCTCCTCAAGGCACTTACCAAGGAGATACCCACCTTGCACAGCAGCCCGTTGTTCCTTGTCGGCGAGTCCTATGGTGGCAAGCTTGCAGCGAAGATTGGAATCTCCGTGGCAAAGGCCATCCACGCCGGGGCCCTCAAGCTCACACTAGGGGGTGTGGTGCTTGGGGATAGCTGGATCTCACCAGATGATTTTGCGGTAATTAAATCATTTTAATCTGTTTGAGTCTCTCAATGATCAAAGCAGTTCCATTTTTTACGCAAAAAGCTTGATTTTCCCAACCAATGCTTTGATCCTTTCAGCTGTCATATGCGCAACTGTTGCATGATGTATCGAGGCTGAGCGACGAAGCTGTTGCCCCTCTCAACAGGTAAAAATCTGCAACATGATATTTGCCTCGATCTCCAATGGCATGCCCTGATCTGATATGTTGTTTGCAGAATGGCGGCAATTGTAAAAGAGCAGATAGCAGCCGGACAATTCACCACGGCGAAGATGACGTGGACGAATCTTGTTGATTTGATTGACCAGCAGAGTGATGGCGTGGTAAGTGCATAGTAATTAGTAACATAGGGTTTGTTTGGTTTGAATCTAGAGTTGCCCCATAAAATATTTGGCTAGCCAAAATATTGGTCAAGGTTTTGTGTGCCTATGAGTTGGCCAACTTTGACTAAAAAATGAAGCAGAGTTGGTAAGGAGCCATTGGCATACCAAACAGTTGCAACCAACCAAACGAAAACCAAAGTTGTGGTCATAACCAAAAATTTGGTAAGGTACATATTGGCTACAAAGCATGCCAAAACAGTACACAAGGTTCTCATTCCACTGTTTATTGCCCGCCAATAGAAGATCAGACATTTCGCCAATGTTAGTTTTCTTTTGCCTTCCCAAAAGGGTGCCTGCAGCTATTCTGAGGTAACCAATCATCTTGCTAGATATCGACTTTTTCTCCATTGACAATTCTTCAGATGATTCCCTGTTTAAGCAACTTCCTTCCAGGTAAAATACTGCGCCATGTCAGGGAAGCACCACGAGGGGAACTATAAGCATTCAGAAAATCAGTGTGCCTAAAATAGCAGGCTCTTAAAACTTGCACAGAGTGACCCAGGACAACCTAGGATCCGCCAACCTCGCTGAGCCAAAAATGTTTGGTTGAAAGCCTCCATATCCCTGAAGCCTACACCTCCCCATTTCTTTGGCACAAAGAACTTCTCCTAGCTGGCCCAATGCACCTTGCGCTGTCCATTGCATAAGTCCCACCAGAATTTTTCCATAACATAAATACAGAAGTAAGCTGCTTGAGGAACTTAGTAAAAGAAACACAGCTCGTGGTGTAGGCCAGAACGGCTTGTATTACAGATTTTACTAGGATCTCCTTTCCTTCCTTTGATAGCCTCTGACCCTTCCACCCTTGTACATCCCCCCAATCTCTTTCAGCAATATGCTCGAAAGCAACATCCTTGGACCTACCCACCATTGTTGGGAGGCCCAGATATCCTTTATTCACTGCTTCTATCAATACCGATAACAACTTTCAGATCCTCGTTGGAGTCTTCTTGCACACCAGGCCCAAAATAAATAGAGGACTTTTGCAAGTTGACCTTTTGACCTGAGCTCATTTCATATCTGGTAAAACAGAGCCAGGAGATCATCTGGACCAGTAGACACAACTATGGATAGCATGTTGATGGCATGTTTGGTAGACATTTATTAGACTGTTCTCACAACAAAATATTAATACCATTCAGCTCAAATTGATAAAACATGCATGACTTTCTGCAGGATATGCTAAATTTCTTGCTTGACAAAGGCGAAGGCTCATCGACGAGCCAGGTGTTTCCGTCGACCCCCAACACCATTGACGGTCTCATGAATGGGGTCATTAAAGAAAAGTTGAAGGTTATTCCTAAGAACATAATGTGAGCATACTTTTCTTCTATATATTTTTTCTTTTTCACCCAAAATATCATCTTACTCAAATTGCCGTAATCTGATATCTGATTAAACTGCAGTTGGCAAGGAGTGGCTATTCAAGTTTTCGAAGCAATGAATGCCACCTACATGAAGCCAGCAATCGATGAGGTAAACAAAGCTCTAATGGATCTAATTTGTTGGCTGATGAAAATTTGTGGCGTTTGATATGTTATGCATGTTTACTTGGTTAGGTTGATCAATTGCTAGCATATGGAGTAAATGTGTCGGTTTACAATGGGCAATTTGATGTGATATGCTCGACAATCGGTGTAGAAGCTTGGGTCAAAAAACTCAAGTAAGGTTCCTATGTTTACCTTCCTCCCTGATGTTATTTTGATGTTTTCATTCCACCATTGCCAATGTAGCATACATAGCATGGGCTTCAAGGCAGAGTTACAGGGGCACGACAAGCTGTGCAGAGAGGTAGTCACGCCAAGACATAGCGGAGGAGTCACAGGGGTAGCCATGGACCAAAGATCTTGGAAGCTTGGAGGGGTAAATGCCGAGAGTGTTGCGAACCAGGGTGGCCTTCGGGCAGTGGAGGAACAAATGGTTTGTGGCTTTAGATACACAGGAGCACAAACCATTTCCAGCTGGAAACCCAAGGAAGGGGGGTGGAGGAGGCTAAACATTGTAAAACAAATTTCATAAGCAAGTAATTATTCTGGGTTTGAAGATCTTTGATGCCTAGACCACTGTATTTTTTTGGTTTGCAAACATCCCGCTACACTATAAGACATTTCGCCCCCGTACAGGTCTCCTCCACGGTCCAGAAGAAAGCACGTCGGATTGCGTCGAGCGCCTCAAAGCTTTTTGGGGGAGTTGGAAAACTGACATGAAGTAGGTGGCGAGGGAGTCGAAAACGAAGGAGGTGAGGGTTAGCCTAGCTGGCGGTGCAGAAGAGGAGCTTAGCCCTCTACCCTGTTTGATATTTGAAGCTGTTAAAGAGAGAGGGAGTGCGTAGGCAGAGAGAGGGAGGCCGAGGTACGTTTGTGGGAAGGAGGACACAGACCAGCCCATCCATGCCTTGTGCATAAGAAGCGCTTCCACATAATGGCGTCATCCACGAGTCACACTCAGTAGTGAATGATGGACACTGTAACAGAACAAAGACGGGCCGATTAGTACCATAATGCATGTATGTAATATCTTAATTCAAAATCGTAGTGCACACTGTAGCATCGAAATACTCGCATATAGAGGTGCTTGTTTTCTAACCTTTTAACATGATCATGTTTTTCAGATGGGCTGGTCTGAAGAGTTTCTTGAGCACGCCAAGGCAGGCTTTGCGATACTGTGATTCTCCAGCGCGCTGCCTCAACCCCGTGAAGGCATACGCTAGATCATACCAGAACCTGAACTTCTACTGGATCCTTGGAGCTGGACACAAGGTACGTGCCAACGTATACAACATTTCACTATTTGAAAGGTTAGTACATCTTATGTGCAAACTGAAGCGTAAGCTTGCGTCAATGCAAATCTTCTATATAGGTGCCTGTCGACAAGCCCGATGTTGCTTTAAGGATGATCAGCAGCATCGTTCAGTCACCTGACAGCTAGGAAGATATCCTCTGTATGTGGTATGTGCAGGTGAATTAGAGCAAGTCGCACTGTCAGCACAACTTGAGCAGTGAGAACTACCAGGTCATCGAACTTAATTGTTAGTCTAACTAATATCTAGCACATTCCCTAGACCCTATATAGTGTGGGATGGGCTAACTTGAGCCTGAGATGTGACTCTCGCAAGAGTGCCTCCCTTCAACGTGCTTGCTGTGACAAGGTTATTTGGCCCTCCTAGTCCTAGCGTGAGGAGACCTCCTTGCTTTGCTGCTGTTGTGTTGATCCATTTGATTGGTTGCATGTTGGGTAAAGGGAGATCGAATGCCTGTGTGTTTATATGGTTTCTGAACCAAAAAGTAGATGGCTTGTTGTATCAGCCTTCTTTTCGTTGTTGTTGAGGGGAGTCACGTGTCTTGTGTTACAAGGCCCTATTTGGATTATCGTTTTCCTTTTAATTACCCCAGTAAAAAAATACTCCATCCAAGCCTTTTTAGAGATTTCAATACGGACTATATACGAATGTATGTAGACATATTTTAGAGTGTAGATTCACTCATTTTGCTGTATGCAGTGCATATTGGAATCTCTAAAAGGTCTAGTATATAGGAATGGGGGGAGTACACGTCTCAGCCCATCGTTTTGTTTCCGGCTGGAAATTACTTAGTTGGCTGGTAAGATCATAGTTCAAAAAAGCGCTAGACATTAATTGTGCGTTTTGCCGCCGCTTTGTGCTTTTTTGATCAAAGCGCATGCTTATGCGCTAGGCGTTTTGCTATCACCTAGAGCCTAGACGCACTTAAGTGCTTGCTTAGGCGCATCTTTTTAAACTATAGGTAAGATACACCTCTAAGTTAAACACCTCCGTATTAAATTACACAGATCCTAAGCGCGCCCTAACTTGAGTTTTGAAGCAGCTGATCGCTAGTGTGCTCATCATGGCTGCATTTTCTGCAATTGGCGATGCTTAGCTATTCGAATTTATTTGCAGTAAAAAAAACAATTGGCAGTTTGCTTTGGTCAGAGAACATCTTCTGGACCATCCGTATGTTGCATGTGTATGAAAAGCTGCTTCTTTTTTCTTTAACCAGGAATATTTACCTCTATTTACAAGGAAAGTGTTTCGCTTTGACTTTATAGTACTGTAATAGACTGATGTTTAAGGTAGTTCAGTTCAAACGATGAGGATGTTTCATTTATATGCAGACATATTTCAGCTCTATTGAGCTTGTATGCTTGCATGTACCGAGCTTTTGCTTGATGTACACTACTTGGATCCGAATGATCCCCATGTCAAAGGGTTTAAACGAATGAACCAAACTGGCAGGCATCGGAAGGGATTAGAAGGGAAGGGGAGTGGATGGGCATCTAGCCCAGTGACAAGACCGCGGCCTTTGGTAGAGCCAAGTTCGAATCATGTGGGTGGAATTTATTTTGCAGATTTAAAACTTTATGTCCCACATCTTCCTTCTTAATTAAAACTAGCGGATTAAAAACTTGATGTACCACATCTTTCTTCTTAATTAAAACTAGAAACTAGCATCAACCAAGCATGACTAAGGACTGGAACGTGATCTACAGGAAATGGCAGGAACAAGGAACAAGCCTACATGGTTTTGAAACATGAACATCAAAACCCTGAAAGCTTACAAAAATCTACACTCCACATTCTACATTCTACATGGGTTCAAAAAAATGCATCGGAAGAGCTTGACGCGCTGGATAAAAAAAATCAATGTAAACAAGTAGTTAAACTTGGGGCTCCCCTCTGCTTCGAAAACTAATATATTCTGTGATGATGAGTACAAAATAAAAAATAAGGATCATACAAAGAAGAAGAAAAAAAAAGAGGCTGCTGATTTACCTCTGCGTTTTTAAACTCCTTCCAGAGCTCAGGCAAACTCTGCAAACCATCTCCTGTGCACATAAGAAAGCCGCTGAAACATAAATTTGTGCTAGTGAGATGCATACATATCCAGCTAATGATTTCTAGTGCGATACTTGTATGCTTCTAAACAAAAAGGATTTCCAAATAATGATCATTTATCATTGGCGTTGCCGCTGATGACCAAAAATATATATTTACATTACGATGTGGAGATAAAAAAATACGAATCTATCAAGAGACCATAATATCTTGATTCATACAGAAAAAATGAACATCTTACTGATTCATATGGTTTAAGCAAAAAAAAAACAAAACTGAAAAAACATGCTGCTGCTGGGAACTTAGTTGCAGTGATCATTATCTTTTGATTGCACGAAAAAAAGAAATTTGAACATGCTACTAATTAAATAGGGTCTCAGCAAAAAAACTGGCAAAAACAAGTAAACATGCTACTGATACATTCTACAGAGAAAAAAGATTTCAGTGTAATCTCTAGTGATACATTTCAGTAGTAATCTGTCTTGTTTACAAAAAGAAAATATTTCAAAAAACATCCTACTGGTTAGATATGGGTTCTGAAAAAACAAATAAAAAGATACCCACTCCTACTGGTACATTCAGTGATAATCTCTCTTTCTTTAAAAAAAAGACATGCTACTGAATAAATATGGTAATCTAAATAAACAAACAAAGGACTCAACCACCCTTAGTGATAGCTTCAGCAAATACATATGAGGGGATTTGATTTAAGTAATATTCCTCAAACATGTTCACACACAAAATTGTTTCTGCCAAAAATCATATTCTTCAAAAGCTACTAACCTGGACTAAAATAAACAAACAAGGGACTGAAACTGTCCCTAGGTGATGGATGAGTAATAGATCTAGACGTCTGAAGTCTAAATTAGGGGATATGAGAGAACCACTTCTTGAGAACTAGACGTTTGAAGCAAGAAGCGTACAAACAAAAATGGACTGACCACTGTATACTTCAAGGCTACTAATCTGGACTCAAAATCCCCTCATATATACGCACTACATTACCACCCCCAGTTGAATAAAAAAAGGACGATTCTATGCTTCAAATCTACTAATCTGGACTTGATCCAAACAAACAATGAGACCCCAAAAATCCACTCGGATCTACTTCATCTCACCAACTAACAAACAAAAAAGAAAAAAGAAAAGATGGGAATGCAAATACTCCATAGCAGCGTCGCCCATCCTCTCATTGGCTGTGGAGGAGCACAGCGATTTCTCTTCAATCTGCTTCAGAGATCTTTGGATTTTCACAAAGAAGGGATAGAGAGAGACAAAGGATGAAATAGACTAACGACTGCCAATCCCCTCCTCTTAATTACCTCGGGGTGCCTATCCCTCTCCAGGTTACCGACTAGCTGCAGCACATATTCATGGCTGCTTGGTCACCTAGGTCTTGGCGGGCAGCGGCATGGCCGGGTCTTCACGACTAGGTGGAGTTGGCAGATCTGCTTTCTCGCTTCTGATTGCGTCACCGGGAATTGGATCCGGGGCAGCGGCGGTCTCGCTGTGGATTGTGGTCACCATCAAAAGATTTTCTGAGAGTTCATCTTTAAAATCCCGTGGCTGACTTCGGCGGCGAGATGAAAACTATGGACGAAGTCTTGATGCAGAGGGATGGTTGTGTGGCAGCGGCGGTTACACCGCATGTTGCTGCTAGGATTGTGGAAAAGTGGTGGCGGCAACACATGAATGACTTCGATGGTGATGCTACTTGAGCACCCGGTCTTGAGCTTCGGGATGAAAGCCTAGGTTTGGCCCGAGTTGGGTATACCTGACAATGACGATGTTTTTACGTCGTTATCTTGTTGAAGGCATTGTTCGAAATGCTCGGGCAGATTCTTTAGGGTGAAAAGCGTAGATTGTAGCCTTGGGTGGCTCGATCTGGTGACGGTGACATTTGAGTGTTGCTCTCTTCCTGAGGGCGTTGCTGTTGAAGAACCTCATCGTTCGTGTGGTGTCATGAGATGGTCGGTGCAGATATGATCATTGTTATAATTGGTCGATCCAGGATCGGATTGCTTTGGGCATTTTTTTCTTTTTTCCTCGCCTATACGCATAGCTTTGGTCTTATATGACTTTGCTATTTGCCGGCGTGTTTTTGTGTGCGTGCGTTGGTGTTGGTTGTGTGCACCTAGCTATGCAGAGGCTGGGTGTATACTCATCGTGTTTGTATCTTCTTGATGCTCCATTTTAAGTCAATAAAATCCACCCTTTATCGAAAAAAATCCCTCTCCACTCTTAATTACCACGGGGCTACCACTCCCTCTTCACCTGCCCTAGCCCAGAAAAAGAAACGCGAGACGCTCACATGAATCAAGGCCGGCCCAAATAAAAAAAATGCTCCAAAAAATAAAAACAAGCAAAACGGGCCGATCCGTGACGTACACAGGCCGAAACATAGATAAAAATGAGCCAGCGCGAATCTACAAGCAACACGAGATCGAACGGCTGCACAATCGACCGAGACTTCACGAATCTCAGTCCACTGATTTTTAGCAGCTCCGTTAAACGAATGAACCAAACTGGCAGGCATCGGAAGGGATTAGAAGGGAAGGGGAGTGGATGGGCATCTAGCCCAGTGACAAGACCGCGGCCTTTGGTAGAGCCAAGTTCGAATAGTATAGGTGGAATTTATTTTGCAGATTTAAAACTTTATGTCCCACATCTTCCTTCTTAATTAAAACTAGCGGATTAAAAACTTGATGTCCCACATCTTTCTTTCTTAATTAAAACTAGCTATGGTAGGACGTGGGACATCACTTCCTAGGAGTTACTAGCTACGGTAGGACGTGGGTCGCACAGCTTACTATATCTGGGAACTCTTTTTTACCAAGCTATAAGTAATCACTGTTGCTGCTACACACGCATAGCAACCTTTGATCAAGCGATATGATAACCGCGACATGGCTTCCTAGGAGTTAAGTTTGAAATGTATGATTAAGGAATGTAATGTTTATCAATGGTATCATCGTGCCACATGTTTACCATACTTCAATTTAGAAAAAATAAATCATGTTATGTTGGCCACCTGTTCCAGAGATCAGTTAGCCTGTGTTTGGTAGGCTCCCAATGTTTCTCCATGGATTACATATTTTTGTATGGATAGTGTTGGAAATATGAGTAATTTACCTAATGATTTTAGTAACAGAAATACTAGATAAAGCATGACTAATATAATAGAGATAAAACAAGTCATGCGTTCGGACAGAGAGAAGGTAAAGAGCATCTGCATATATG